CTGAGATCGGAAAGCAGAAAGAGGACTGCGGAAGAGGAAGGAGCCGAATACAGGAAGAGACGCGATACTGCACAAAGGAAAAATCTAAAAAGCCAATTTGATGGGAGCTAAGTCCCCTACTCTATAATGAACAAGTGCTGGACCTATAACACTTAGAGAGAAGAGGGATGACGGGCTCCCCAAAAGGACAACCTCCTCACACATAGAAGGTCTAGCTCTATATAGCCGAAATTCCTCTCCGCTGAGAGAGGCAATGAAACCAAAACAACTTTACACTGAAAATTATGATGCCGAGCAGGTCATGCACAAAGCGCCGAGAAAATACATGTAAACACCTACCTTGTTGAGCAAGGACGGACAATGCCAACAATGAAGGTTAAACAGTTTTGAGGGACCAATGCCTAAGGATTTTAACGTACTTAGGAGAAAATTTTATTCTATCCCCTTGCACTTTACTTACTTTGTAATATATTTCGTTTTCTCTCCTCTTGTTGAACGGTTACTGTTCATACATTCTGTTTCAATTGAACAATACTTATTATTGTTGGGATCGAAATCATGTGTTGCATTTATGTACTTGAACAAGTTGTTTTTCTTCTAATTGTAAGTTTTTTTTTCTCTACTCTAAAGTGACATTGAATGATGCTAAATTTTCATGGTAACCATGTTCACTGCCTTTTTTCTTTATGCCTTGGCATATTGGTCTTGCCATACTTAGAACATTTATGCTATGTCTTTTTCAAAGGTCTAACAACTTGGATTCCCGTCACCTCAAATACTACAAATCCACGAGATCCTCGGGATATAACCACACTTTATGGAACAGATACATAGTCAAGCAAATCTCCTGGTTGACTGATCATTAGAATAGATATTCTTCTTGTCAAATGATCTTCGAATAATAATTTTCAATTTGGACAATTTTTCAAAACTTGCTTTCTAGGCGACTAGGTCCATGGCCTAAGTTATAAAAAAAGTAAGGACCACCCATTCGTGGGTTCGAAGGGTAAAGTTGACTTGTTGAGTTTAAGTACTGTTTTCAATATCTGTGAAAAATAAAGATGTACTTGACTGATGTCGAAGTTCTCCCAGCGTTGGAAGACCCACCACGGTTATATTCATTATTCACTTCTGTTGGCAGGATAGTTTAGGCTTAAATTTATTCTTCCTTAAGTTCTCATAATACAGGCGACCAAACTGTGGGGTTTGATTTCCGAACCACCTACAACCAAACACATGGAACTAGTTGGAGAGCTACGTGCAGAATAGATTAAAACTAACCCACCGCCTAACAAGAGATAAAGAACCACGCGCGTGGTTCGTCTCACCCGGAAGGCGACACTCCGAAGCGATCAAGTCAGTCAACTTATCTCTTAAAGATAGTCAACACAAAGTCATAATTCACAATAACAACAAAACATCTCTTAAATAAAAGATTGCATAACTCTAGACTCACCAAGGATGTACTGCCTCACTTTATCATGAGATCAGTGTCCAAACTTCCCTTAGAAGCCCTTAACTTCATTGCCGGACTCAAGCTCAATTGGCTCTATCCTAAACTCCTTGACTAGATAAGATAAATCTCCTATCCGCCTAATTTATGCTTATTCAGATTTGAAGAGTTCAACTTTCCGTATTAGGACTCTTGGTCCCTTATTCGAAATATCTCGAGATCCGTGACATACCTGGCAAAACTTTTCAAGATACAAATGCCGTGATCACCTGGGCAAAACATGACTCAATTCAAAACGTTGCAACACCCAACCGGACACTCGGAGCTATCCTGGCCTTCTGACGTCATTCCGCAATAATACTTCCCCACAAGCCACCTATAGAAAAAGAAATATTTAGTAAATAAACAATGAGATCAAAAAAAAAAAAAAAACCTTGTTCGCATTATAATAAAGGCATACCTCTTTATTCATATTAGTTTACAAGAAATAGTATTTCTAGAACAGGTAATAATTCTATAGGAATATCTATATGGGTAAAAACACAATTTTGAATACAAAATAGTATCATCGTACTGTGAGTTAAAAATTAAATAACAATTCTATAAAAGCTAAAGATTATCTCTTAAATTAATAAAAGTGCTTTCACACCACAAACTAATTTTTGTGACTGTTTATATCTCTATACGTCATTAGCCGGTAAAGTACTAAAATTTGTGAAACATGTTTCAGTCCTTAGAACTTTTCTACCCAGCCCACATCACCACTCACTACGTTGAAGATGCTCGACAATGTTGGAGGCAGCAAAGCGATCCTCTCCAACTTCCTTCTACCGGGTCTTTCTCCTCCTCCGGCGCACGGTCCAAACATTGACATACTTATTACCGTATGCCAAACTCATCGCTAGCCTGAAATTAGTTGAAAAAAAAAAATAAAAAAAGTACAACTCACTGACGTACAAACACCGTTGCCCAGTTCCCACCACTCACCTCAGCAGCCACCTTACTCTCTCTCTCTCTCCTCCCCTTTCTTCTTTTTCTCATCTCACATTTTTAATAAAAAATTAAACAAAGATCTATTTAATATAATTTACATTTAATTTTCAATAAGACTTATCAATTTTCTACTCAAAATTTAGCTCTCCTAATTGTTATTTTCATTATTCCCAATAATATTAGATCCATTTTCAAAATTAAGAATACTAAAATAATATTAAATTTTTATTTTGCCCCTTTCTTAACATTCATTAATAATATAAAAAGTACAAAATATGGACAATTGATATTTTCTAAAAAAAATACTATATAGTTGTTTACCTATTTTTATAAAATATAGCAATTTTTTTTTTGGACAACAAAATAACAAATTATTTTTTTGAATTAAACTTTTTAAAAACCAAGTGGTTGGTTATGAGTTTTGAATATAAATTTTAAAATAAAATTTTGAGTTTGTGTATTTGTTATGGTTATAAGTTTTCTAATTAAGTTTTGAAAAACTTTCATTTTAAACACACTTCCTAAATAAAAACAACTTGAAAAACAAAACTAATCTTCATCAAATTTGAAAACTCAGTGTTGTTTATCTTTCAAACAAATTAATTTTTTGTACTATTGAAAAAAAATTAAAATTTGAAAACATTTAACTTAGACACATCAGTAATCTTATTTTTATTCTATTTTAAATGTTTATTAAAATTAATAATAGTGTTAGTGTCATTTTAAAGGTATATTTTCAATGATACTAATTTTATAAAATTAAAATTTTATATTAAAAATTATATATATATATATATCTTATGATAGTATATTTTTTTTAGAGAATATCAATTGTTTTAATTGTACTTTTTATATTATTAATAAATTTAAAAGAATGGTAAAATAGAATATTTATATTATTTTTGTCATTAATTTTTGAAAATGAACTAATATTTTGGAATAATGAAAAATGGAATAAGGGACTAAATTATGAAATGTCTTATTTGTCTGAAAATAAAATAAAAAAGATTAAAATAATTTTTTAAATTTTTTATTAGAAATAAGAGAGAGAGAGAGAGAGTGAGTGAGATTGAGTGAGTCAGTGAGTGTGTGACTGAGTGGTGGGACGTGTTATGTTAGTGACTTAATTTTTTATTTTTTATTTTTTAAAACTAATCTCAGCCACACATTTTGCATGGAATGATGTGATCCAATCTGAACCGTTGCCTGGAGGAGAAGGTGGAGAGGATCCTTGCTCATGTTGGTCATGTTGGAGGTAGGAATGGCTGGAGAGGAGTTGAATCTAATCTTGCAAACCCTTATTCTCATTCCTCCATCAATTTTATGACCATTGAACTAGCTCTTCAATGTTATTATGATCACAAAATTGTTGTGTAATTCATATGTCTTTTTTTCAACTTCTTTTCATAATGAAATGTTAATAAAAAGTTGAAATTGTAACAAATTAAAAAAATTAATTATATAAAATAATAATACTGCATACTTGAATTTTTATCCAAAATTTTGTCCAGAAACATCAATATGTAATTCATATTTATTTTATATATGAATCTCACAAAACACTCATTACATCTCAACCCACATAATAATTCTAGATAAAGTTCTTTCTAGAAATTCTAGGACCATGACTCATAATTAAAGTGGGTAAAGTGTAATTTAACCAAACTAATTTTATAAGGGTAAATTATACTAATCTCTCTTGAGATTTAGAGAATATAACAAATTTTACAGTTTTAATATAATTACACTAATATCTCTTTTAGTAAGATTAAAAAAATCAAAATTAATTTAGATAATATCTAACAAGACAGCGTACCCGTGTCTCTTAACATGTGTCTAACACTTTTCAAAACGTGTCTTATTTTTTAAAGATTCGGACACTTTTTGGATACTTGGAAGACACGTATGTATCTCTTAAACACGTGTCTATCGACCAGACACATGTAAAAATAATTATAAGTTTGAACAAAATAACTTAAAATACAATAATAAAACAAAAATCATATAAATTTATAGGGATTAATATCATATTGTATTTTTTTATTATTTTTAAATGATATATTTATATATATAATATATAATAAATATATATATGAGTATATATTTCATATGTGTTCTCCATATATCGTTTCCTACATTTTTTAAAAATTAGCATTTCGACGTACCCGTATTAAATTACGTGTTTGTGTCCATACTCATTAGGATAATATAAAGACACAAAAACATGCAAGATAAAATATATATCTCAATAAAGACACAAAAACATGCAAGATAAAATATATATCTGAATATAAAAAATATAAAAATATTATTTTTTATTTATACTACTAACAAATTTACGAGGAAAAGAAAGTAAAATATTGCATGAATTAAATTTTTTTTAAAAAAACTCAGTTTAATTTTTTGAAAATATCAGGGAGGTGGAAGTGGGTGTAATGTAATGTACCCATTTTAGCAGTGTTTGTTGTACCTGGAAGTGTGGGACCCAACAATCAAATTGCTTTTTGTCAATTCCTGATTTTTGTTGATTTATTTTTCTGGGAAGCAATTGGTTCCCTTTTTCAGTGGCTCATCTTGGAGTATGGAATGGATGGTCTGATTCTATAGCTGCCCTGTAAGTTCTCTCCTTACTCACTGTTCTTTTATCAACCTTCCATACAGTCCTTCACCATCTAGCTTTTCGTGCACCACCATTTTTCTACTCCAAGGTGCCCTTTTCTTCTACTTTCCATCTTCTTTTTTTCTTTTCAGCTTTGTCCTTTACTTCATTACTTGCACAAAGATTGACCTCCTTTCACACCAAGTTGCTAATGCTATGATGGGTAGTTCTTGTGTTGCAACTTTTGTCAAGCATGATTTGTATATGTATGAATCTGTGTTTATATGAACTTGTTGGCTAACATAGTTCTGAGCTCATGTTGGCCTTTGTTTGTTTCAGTTTTTGTTTATAGGTTACAAGGCAAAAATAGCTTAAATCAGCTGAAAATTTTGATTATGTAAAAGTTGGGTTGGAGGAGGGGCGCTTTTAGTTTATGTTTTCTGATTATTCACTTTCAGCTTAAGAAAAAGCTGCATCAAAGAGGCCCCGTTAAATAGCAAGGCTGTAATGGGTGTTCATATTTTCCCCGGAAAGTCTGTATATTTAATATTTGTAGTTTTCATGCCAGCTCATGTGTTATTATGGAAGTTACTTTACAGCTTGAGTTTTCATAATGATATTATTGTTCTTTGTTTATTTGTTTACCCAAACAATCTTTGTTTACTGTTCTTTAAATTTTTATATTTTGATTGTTTGGTTAGATATTATTTCATGAGTTTTAAGCAACATCATGTATTTGAGCTTTTCTCGGTGATGTAATTTGGGAATTTCCAACAAAAATATACATATAAACTGAACTAGGTTTTCTATCCTCTTCACATTACAGATTGAAATTTGGGGCTTTTAATTAGACAGTTGGCCATGAATCTGATTTGGGTACTGGTATTGATGATTTTCAACAATGGACATTTTTCACAAGGAGTTAGTACAAATACTTCTAAAAGACCTGAAGTAGTTAACATTGGGTCAATAATCACTTTCAATTCTGCAATCGGCAAAGTTGCAAAAGTTGCCTTAAAAGCTGCCATTGAAGATGTGAATTCTGACCCTGCAATTCTTGGAGGAACCAAGCTGAAAGTGACTATGCTCAACTCCAATCATAGTGGATTTTTGAGTATCGCTCAGGGTATATATATGTACCTGCAATATCTATTTTTTCTTCCTCCCAAGCTTCATGTTGATTTCTTCATCTAGACAAGCAATTCATAATCTCAATAGTCATCATAGTCTTATAATTTGTAACTTTCTTATGATAACAGCTTTAAAGTTCATGGAGACCGATACTGTGGCAATTATTGGCCCACAGGCTTCTGATCTAGCTCACGTGATTTCCCATATTGCAAATGAGCTCCAAGTCCCTCTATTGTCTTTTTCAGCAACAGACCCGACCTTGTCTTCACTTCAGTATCCGTTCTTCGTGAGAACATCACAGAATGACCTGTTTCAGATGGCTGCAATTGCTGACATTGTTCAGTACTATGAATGGAGAGAAGTAATTGCAATCTATGTTGATGACGATTATGGGAGGAATGGGATAAGTGCGTTAGCAGACCAACTTGCCATGAAACGCTGTCAGATCTCTTACAAAGCACCTTTGACTTCTCAAGCTAGCCAAACTGAGATCCAAGATGTCTTGGTTCAGGTTGCTTTAGCAGAGTCTCGGATTCTTGTTGTTCATATGCATCCCAGTTCGGGTCTAGATGTGCTTTCCGTGGCACAATATCTTGGTATGACGGGAAGTGGGTATGTTTGGATAGCTACAAATTGGCTCTCTACCATCCTTGACACTAACTCTCCTCTCCCTCGGGAGACAATGGACAAAATCCAAGGACTTATCACGTTACGTATTTACACACCAGATACAAAACTAAAAAGAAACTTTGCTTCTAGGTGGAAAAACTTGACAATTACAAGTAACCAAACAGCTAATGGCCCTGTTGGGTTGAGTACTTATGGTCTGTATGCCTATGACACTGTTTGGATGCTTGCAAATGCAATTGATGCTTTTTTCAATCAGGGTGGACACATTTCCTTTTCAAATGATTCGAGGTTAAGTGAACTAAATGGAGGGAATTTGCATCTAGATGCTATGAGCATCTTTAATGGAGGGAAATTATTGCTCGACAGCATTTTAAAGGTCAATTTCACAGGTTTGACAGGGCCGATCAGGTTTGATCCAGACAAGTCACTCATTCGTCCTGCATTTGATGTAATCAATGTGATTGGCTCGGGGGTTAGAAGGGTCGGTTATTGGTCTAATTATTCTGGCTTGTCAGTTGTGCCTCCAGACACACTCTACACAAAACCACCTAACCGGTCTAGTTCAAGTCAACAACTGTATAGTGTAATCTGGCCTGGACAAACAGCCCAGAAACCTCGCGGATGGGTTTTTCCAAACAACGGAAGGCAATTAAGAATTGGAGTCCCAAATCATGTTAGTTATCGCGAATTCGTAGCAAAAGTGCCAGGCACTGATACGTTCAAAGGGTACTGCATTGATGTTTTCACTGCTGCAGTGAACTTGTTGCCTTACGCTGTCCCATATAAGTTGATACCATTTGGGGATGGTATTAATAACCCGAACTGCACTGATCTTGTGCGCTTGATAACAGCGGGTGTGAGTATGAGATACCGAGTTCTTATCATAAATTTAAAGGTTTTCTGCTTTATCTCATTTTAAATTTCTGGTTTCTTCGTCTGTATAGGTCTATGATGCTGCAGTAGGTGACATTGCGATCATCACTGACCGTACAAGGATGGCGGATTTTACACAGCCATATATTGAGTCTGGGCTAGTCGTGGTGGCACCAGTTAGGAGATTGAACTCTAATGGTTGGGCTTTCTTGAGGCCATTCACTCCGATGATGTGGTCTGTCACTGCTGTTTTTTTCCTAGCCGTGGGAGTGGTTATTTGGATTTTGGAGCATAGAATCAATGATGAATTCCGCGGCCCTCCTAGGAAACAATTCACCACTATTCTATGGTAAGTGCCTAAGAAATATTGTTCAATTACATAGATTCTGAGAATTAATAATGAACGTTTTATTAGTACATATACATCAATATTAGTGTGCTTTGAAGTCTGAAGTCCCCTTTCCATCATTTGAGGCTGCAACAATTATTCCAATAATTACATATCCGATTTGACCTATGGACAAATATGCAAACATTTGTCTTTGTTTGAGTAATAGCAATGAGATTTCCCAATACCAAGAATAGCTAGGATTTTCATAAGATGCCATCCATTCAATGAGAAATAGAAAGGAATATTGAAAATCCGAGTGTCTAGAGCTGAAAAAGAGTCGAAAAGATGATTCCTCACTCCTTTCTCCAAGTCAAAACTGTGCATGAGTCTTCCATTGGTCACGGCTTCTAAGTGATTATAGAAAGAAGAACTCTCTGCTTTTTGTATATTATTTTCATCCAATAATTACATATCCGATTTGACCTATGGACAAATATGCAAACATTTGTCTTTGTTTGAGTAATAGCAATGAGATTTCCCAATACCAAGAATAGCTAGGATTTTCATAAGATGCCATCCATTCAATGAGAAATAGAAAGGAATATTGAAAATCCGAGTGTCTAGAGCTGAAAAAGAGTCGAAAAGATGATTCCTCACTCCTTTCTCCAAGTCAAAACTGTGCATGAGTCTTCCATTGGTCACGGCTTCTAAGTGATTATAGAAAGAACTCTCTGCTTTTTGTATATTATTTTCATGAAAACAGAAGATCAAAAGTAGACGGATGAGAATATATTTCAAACAACTAGATATATAATAATATAATTGTTAAGACAAGTTTAAATCACTAATGCTCTGTTTGTTTTGGCGAAATATATTTTTTGGAAAACATTTTCCGCATTTGCTGAATTGGTACAACGGAAAATGAAAGCCAACTTCCGTGCTCAATGGAAAACAAGTTCATTTGAGCAGAAAATATCTTTCACTTTTAAAAGGTGAAAAACATTTTCCAGACTAAAGTCTTACCACCGCCACCGTTACCTCCACCTCCGCTTCCACCTCCACCACTAACACCACTACGTCCACCACTAATACAACTAGTAACACATTAATTTCCAAGGCCACAACCAAACGTAGGAAAACTTTTTCTTCAGAAATCTGAAAAAAGTTTTTCATGTTTTCCGCTCAAACTAATGGAGCGTAAATATGTAAGGCCGCAACAAAATTGTTTGTGGTGGCTGTCCCCTCTTTCCTTTCTCTTACATTGATGCGTATTTTTGAAGTTATTAATCACCTTATCTAAGTCTCTTGATTGCTTATCTTCTTCTTTTTTGTTTTGCTTGGGATTGCTTATCTTTGTGCTTTCACTTTGCAGGTTTAGCTTTTCAACTATGTTCTTTTCCCACAGTACGTAATTCATCACTAGTTTTACAGTCTTCTCTTCCCAAATGGAACTCAAGTAATAATGATGCATATTTTTTTCGCTGTTTAATGCAGGGGAAACAACAATGAGCAGTCTCGGTCGCTTCGTGCTTATCATATGGCTATTTGTGGTTCTGATAATCAATTCCAGTTACACTGCAAGTCTGACCTCAATCCTCACAGTGCAGCAACTTTCTTCCCCCGTTGATGGAATTGAGAGTTTAATAATGAGCAATGAACCCATCGGCTACCAACAGGGTTCATTCTCAGGAAATTATCTCACCAGTGAGTATGGCATTCATGAGTCTAGACTCATTCCACTTAATTCGCCAGAAGACTATGATGAAGCCTTGAAAAAGGGTCCCAACAAGAAGGGTGGCGTTGCTGCGGTGGTTGATGAGCGAGCATATCTAGAAATCTTCCTCTCAACTCGTTGTGAATACAGTATTGTAGGTCCTCAATTTACCAAAAGTGGATGGGGATTTGTAAGTAATTCTTCATCAACGTCACTACTTCTATGGTTTTTTTTTTTTTTTTTTTTTTTGTCACTACTTCTATGGTTTTTTTTTTTTTTTTTTCTTCTTTTATTGGTCAAACACTAATTTTCTTAAGCTTCGCTAAAAAAGCAACAAGCTTTGAAATGGAAGAAAGCTTGGTTCTCAAGTGTGTCTGACTGAGCTAATTATGAGGCAACCTCAAGAGCTTAGTTTTTGTATAATGGTAGTGTGTTTATTAGCTTATCTGTTTGGCTGTTTGACAACAGCTAAAAATGTCACAATTTATTTTTATTTTTTTTGTGTCTTTGGTGAATTTTTTAAAATCATGTTGAAATTTTTAATTTTCAAGTTTGTCTAGTTTTGAATAATTTAAAAAGTAAAAAAAAAAAATCAAAAAAAGATCTTCAAAAAAATAATACTAATAAAATAATTAGTGCACTTATTTCAACAAAAAAAAAAAATTTAAATTTTTTTTAGGTTCATCTAGTCTTGTAGATCTTAAAAGTGAAATAGTTTTTTGAAAGACGAAAAAAAACCAACAAAAAAAACTGCAAAAAAAATAATTGCCAAACCCAACCCAAGTTAAAGCTAAGATCAAGACAAATCAATGGGCTTCAAATAAACCAGTCAGTTGTTCAAAGGCAAAAGCAAAGTATTAGCTGTGTTTCTTTGTTCTGCTTCAAGATGATGAGGAATGTGCTGTTTATTTGTTGACAAAGATTCACTTACCTAGTTTTATTTTTTGTTTTTGTTTCTTATCAGGCCTTTCCACGGGACTCGCCTTTAGCGGTTGACATGTCAACCGCAATCCTGAAACTGTCAGAAAACGGGGAACTCCAACGAATACACGACAAATGGCTGATGGGAAGTGCCTGCAGTTTACAAGGCGCAACGCTTCAAGTGGACCGGCTTCAACTTGGAAGCTTTTCAGGCCTCTTTCTTATATGCGGATTAGCTTGCTCGCTCGCTCTCCTTGTGTATTTTGTGTTGATGGTTCGCCAATATAGCCGCCATTATGTTGATAAGGCAGCAGAATCTTCTAACAGAAGCTCGCCATCAGCGCATCTTCAAACGTTCCTTACATTTGTTGACGAAAAGGAAGAGGAAGTGATAAAACGGTCCAAGAGAAGGCAGTTGGAGAAGGATTCAAATAGAAGCAATGGTGAGGATGAACCGACAATTGTTTCCAACATTAGTCATGCGGAAACGAGCTCAAACATAAGTACTGTCAGTTTTGCTTCTGGAGTCTAGTTCATGTATATATCTCACCCTGAACCAAGTTATACAAGTTGTTTCTTCTTGTGTTTTTTAATAATCAATTTGTAATATAATTGGTTTTTGAATTTATTGGGAAGTGTGCTTTTGTATTTCAGCATATGTTCAAATTCCATGGTGGTCCTCTGGGAAGGGCCTCGAACTTTTGTACTGTTCGTAACTGAAAAATCATGGTGGTCCTCTTATGGAAGTGCCTTTTGGTAACTACTAGGTATTTCATGTATATATATATGTTGATGTCTTCACAACGAATCTAGCCTTCTTCAACTCAATTGTTTTAAGGGGAGCTTTTCTTTGATATGAACCATTTTAATGACAAACTCAGATTTAATCATAAATTGAATAAAAAACTTTAATGGTGGTAGAGTGCTAAACTTGAGCGTTACAAAATAATTTATATTTTTTTGAATAAACATTTAAGTCTCCGTTGATTTGAGTAACACGCCAATTTGATACAACTTTTTGGTCAACGAGTGAATCATGTTTTGAATGATTTCCATCCAAATTTGAAATTGATAGTGGTGGTCCAGTTCATCTGGTATAATTAGGGTTGTAAATTGACCAGATTTTAATTTTCAATCAGTTTTTCTTTATAAAATTCAATTTGTTTCTGTTCTGAACTTTTTATACCAATACAAACTCAAATATTATATTTAAGGTTGATTAACGCTAGTTTCATCTGTCATTAGGCTACATATTACATGTATAGACTGACCACTTACACGCGAACAGAAACATCAGATGACAACAATGAATAGAAAACAAAAACGAAAACAAGGGTTTATAATAAAAGTTAATAAGATTAATTGGGCACTTCATACATCATTCAGTTACAGCCACATTTACATTCATACACAATTTAACACGTGATGAGAGATAGAGCGATCAACATCAAATATCATCCACCAGCCACTACGATATTACCTTAGTGTGCAAGTTTTCTACTCTTTTCTAAAGCGGTCTGTTGGAGCAACGACTCAAACTATATATTGCTTTCGAAGTACTTGTTGAAGCATTCTTCTTCCCTACAGTATTTGTACATAACTTTGTATACTTCAATCAATAATTTTGGGAACCGACTTGTGAAATAGCCATCAAATCCTTCAGGAACTGGTCCGAGAATTTCCTGAATAAACACCAAAAGTCAAACTCAAATCAGCCACACAAAGGAAAAACAAAACTGAAATTTATATTCATAAGAACATTGGTAAATGGCCACCAATTTGGTAAAGGCATGAAATAGTTAAAGAGAAAAATAGGAACTCCATTTATACATCCTCTGAGATTTTTTCGTGTAGAGAAAATTCACGATGTATTTAACTAGGGCCTTTTTCTTCAAGTATGGGTCACCTCAACGAAGGTAGGAGCCGGTGTGTGATTTGGAGATATGAAGTGTTTCCTAGCATACAACTTAGTACAGCCTAAAGAATGTGATAATCAAATGGCAATGCTATACAATCTTAGGCAAATAAGAGCTGTCCCTTGAGGCCATTTTTGCTTGCCAACAGTTAAAAAAGTAACACTTATTTTCATTTTTTTTTTTTTTTGTCTTTAGATAGATTTTTAAAATTTGTGTCCAAAGTTTTTGCTTTTCAGATCCATTTAGTCTAGAATGATCTAATTTTTTTTTTTAATATCCAAAAACTAGTCTAAGTGGACCATTTTTTTAAAAAACTTATTACTTTTCAAGTATGTCAAGTCTAGTAAGACCTAAACGTTAAAAGTTTTTCAAAAAAAAGTCAACAAATAAACTGCTCAAAAAGCAATTGCGAAACCCAACCAGGTGGTAAGAGATGAGCAGAGTTGGGATGGATCTTGAGGTCAAGTCTTGCTATGGGGAAAGTATAATGAACAGTGAAAAAATGGTCAATCGCCCTTGCAGCTGCTCAACAAACACTATTTGAGTCCTGGTTGGGTACCACATTTATTAGAGCATTTACCAATTCTTAAAATAACAATCCAGTAACCATCCAAAAATTAAAATATGTATGTACACACATATATACACGTAAAACACAATCCAATTTATTAACTGTTGGCATGAGAAATGAACCTGAATTTCGACAGGAAGTTCTCTATAATGATTCAACTTGTTCCGCATGACTCGCAGTAAGTCACGAACACTGTCATACTTATAGCGCCTGTACCGTCCAATATTATTAATGAATGCAGTTTCCATCTTTTCATCCCATTTTGTGCCTAAAGCCGCTGGACCTATACTTTCTAATGCTTTTAAAAGATCAGAGTCAGTTTCCCTATCTTCCAACTCTACCCTATCGCTCGTGTCACGGAAAAATGATAATCTCATCTCAGAATTCCAAAACAAAGGATGATTAAACACCTCTGACGCCTTGGGCCTGCAAGAAATCAGTAGAACTCAGACAATTAGTGCTCAACAAAAATAAATTCGAATAATTAAGAATGCAGGAAAATTTGTTTGCATAAATGTCCCAACAAAATCAGTGTCCCACTGGCATACAGTCTACAGCACAGTTAGGCCATGTTTGTTTGGACAGAGTGGAATAGATGTGATTAGCATTCCTAGGACTGTTAGTCCAAGGATTATCAATTCCTTTGGAGTGTAAATCATATCTCAATTTAACTAATTAGTCTGAACCTCTACTTAGTCCTTCATTTTATATCTCACCCTCTCTCATGGGATTCAATAGTCCGGATGGAATATTATTCTGGATTTTTTTGAATTATTAATCCAATCCCAAGACCATGTCCGGCCAAACACACATGGTTAAACTACTCCATAATGTGTTGTACATCACAATTGACGTTACACATTCTTTTCATTGGACAAAGAATAACTTTTAGGAATTTGTGAATGACTGAAATGGATTATTGTGGACAAAGAATAACTTTTAAGTTTGTACACTCGATGAAATGGATTAGTGTCTCCAAATATTGTGGAGAACAACATATTAAGAGGCACAAGTCATAACTATTGCCATATAGTCATCGTGACAATAATGTCCAGTACTTACCTTAATTCAACATTAGGGTTTAATAAACAAGAGAACAGATCCATGGCTTCTGGAATATTCTCCACTAAGAAGAGGTCTGCTTTGTTCTTCACAATATTGATGTCACGTTCAAGACGGTCACCAAATGGATGTCTACCACCAGTAATGCAGTAAAAAAGAACACAGCCTAGGCTAAACATATCTACTGCACGTGTTTGGCGTCCACAGAGAAGCTGTTCGGGAGCTTGCCATCCCGAACTGCCATAACCTGCAATAGGTCATCAAACAAAATACTTAACAAATGAACTAAAAACCATTTATCATTCACATATGAATTGTTAGATAACTCTTTTAGGTCTCCCAGATCTACCATAAACCAAACTCAACGTCAAATCGACTAATTATTTACACCCTAGTTTAAACAAATTTATGAATTAAACACGATGCCAAAGGGACAGAAAGGTGGATTGTAGAATTTTTTTTTAAAAAAATGGTTGCATAAAGGTTAAAAATCTAGCAAAGCAATCAAGACACAGATGTCATATGACCATAAAACTTCACATGCATAGCAAATGATGGATATATAGAGTTGCTGACATAATAGCTAGTCAAGAATACTTGCCAGTAGCGTGATGGCCCAAGGAAGACATCTCCCCAACAAGACGCTTGCTGATACCCATATCAGAGAGCTTTGCAAATAAAGATCTTTCTTTAATTATCAACACATTTTGAGGCTTTAAGTCCCGATGAATTATTCCTAGTTCATGCAAATGCAGGAGTCCAGAAACCACATCCCTGTGTTACAGATACAAAAAGGAAGATTAAACAAATGCTGAATTCAGACCAATTAAATTGGCATAAATGCAGACCTACAAAGATTAACAAGGGAATCTAACCTAAACTTGTAACTACATTTGTTTTCATCCAGTCACCAAACCTAATGGCAATTTATGACTACAGCAATAAACTCCGGCAAGCCAGAATTTAAAAGAGGGGAGAGGGGAGGATGGATTCAAAAATCCATTAGACATTACAAAATACCTTGTTTTACAAATTGTATTTAAAAACAAGAAAGTGCTCTAGAATGGAGCTCATCATAGAAAATGAAGGCGCCATCATAGATAGTAGTAAAATTTTTAAATATGATCAGCACATGAAATCCTAAGAATTTCTATCTGCACATCAACTAAGTACTCTTCTTAAAAGTGCTAATGAAAATAGGAAGCACTTATTTCAGATTCATTGTAGAAAAGGAGTAGGTTCACTCTACTCAATGTTGACTGACTGAATGAACATTTCAGGACAGCATATTCCAGTTTTCAGAGGGGCTCATACTCTGCAGCACAGGGGCATCCCTTTCTGCAAACTTACCTTAAGATCTATGCCACATGGGCAATAGAAAGTGGTATCCCCTTCTACAAATATGCTAAATTATTAATAACTTTTTCCCCCATGACCAATGGAAAACGTTGATGGCCATTAAGGTTTGGTGACATCTATGCTGTGGATAAGCAAAAGAATGCGAGTCTGACACAAGCACACTAGTGGCATATTCGGCATGAAATGATGACGGATCTAATGTAAATCTAATTGAAACATCAAAATTTTAAACTAACCTCATCAGTTTCAATAATATAGGTGAAGGATAGCCATTTTCTTTCCACAATTTAACATCCCGCATAACGCCCTTCATTGAATTCAAACGGACTTTATACTCTATCATGGCTTCCATAGCTTGTTCCTCAATAACGGTTGGTTTTTCAGAGGTATCGGAGTACATCTGAATTAGATCATTTAAGTTGCAAGTGCAACGCTCCAGTGAGAGATACACAAAATCTTGATCAGATTCCACTCCATACCATCGAACAATATTTGGATGTCTGTCAGATGCAACAAGATTCTGGATTTCCTTAAAAGCAACGTCATTATGGGCCTTGACAAGACGTTTCACAGCTACTGAACGACCTTCATAAATTCCCTCAAGGACAATGGTACCATTGCTTCCCTTAGCAATTTCTGTATTAGAGACAAATAGTTTACCAACCGTGCGTCCTTCTCTGCTATCATCCATTGATTGATTGAGTTTCAACCATGGTCTGTTATCATATCCATCAGCAAATGAGGTGCTTTCATCCCTCTTCTCAACAATGCCACTATTCTTTCCTGACTTCCGAGTTTTCTTCCTTTTTAAAGGCACTGTTCTTGCATTTAAATCACCGGGCTGCTTATTCAACTCAACATCTTTTCTAGTCACTAAAGGACAAGAGTAGATGACAAAGCCCACAAAAATGATAGCAAAAGAAATGACAGAAAATACACTAGCCACATTTAGTCCACCATTATGATGCTTTTTCACATCTTGCATACCAGATATCCCTGAAATTTCAGTCATTTGAGTCAAAGATGGCACTAGATCAATGTCATTGTAGTGATGAGAGTCCAGAAATGTATTGACATCAGGTTGTGAAGAAAGAAAACGATTTGGACCAGGCAGTGGGAGTCTCTCATCTTTATGATGCAATTCTGAGGATTTATCAACTTCAGGTTGCCAATCAAGCATTAGATTTGAATTAGACACAGGGAGCATCATATCTTGACGATGAGCTTCAGGTAGCATATTAGGCTTATGAAAGGGTCCTAGCATATGAGGACCGCGAAAGCGGTAGACAACAGCCTTTGATTGACATGGCAATGGCATATTAAAGGGAATGTTTGGTTCAGAAGGCAACCCATATTCTAAATCTGAAAGAATCCCACTAAATGAATTCTCAACTTCCTGACAAAGGAAAGCAGCTCCAACTTCAGCAACTGTCATGTTCCACAGAACTTTATCTGTATTTAGAGCGAAAGACTTCAGTGAATAATCAGTTCTTGTGATGTAAAGAGGCAGCTCATCAGGCTTAAGGTTCAATGAACCAGACTGTTCCAGTTCATCAAAAGTAGTACCATTTAACACACTCTTCTCATCATTGTTCTGTGATGTAGGTGGAGAATTAGACAAACTGTAAGTGTAGATTAGCCTTCCAGTCTTAGCATCAACCAGAAACACAGTAGTTTTCTTTGAGCCAAGTACAACTCCTCCATCTTCTGCTATGAGTGGAGTATTACTGATGAACTCTTCAATAGTCTCTTTGAGTTTCTGAGACAGCAAGAATAATACAAGAAATCAAGAGCATATGGTATATGATTATGCAAAAAGGTAACAATATGGCCAGATGAATGGTAACGCTTCTACATTAGGGAAAAAAAATATTGTGCAAGTGGGTATAGATATATATATATATAGGGGGTGTATTAAGAAGCTACCAATATCAAATACCTGTATTCATAAATAAAACATATCAGGCTGTCTAGGACAACTAGTCCTAGCAAAACCTGTCAGTCAACACATATGGACGCAGAATCTCAACACTAAAACCTTATCAGTGGACCACTTCAAAAAGCATTGATATGAAATATAGCCATGACATTTTCAGACATACCCGCTTACCAAAGGCATCATGCATATACAGCGCCCAGTCATCCCCACAATCTATAAAGAAACTTTCTAGTTGGGAAGTATTTTCCTTTTCATTACTTTGCTCAACAGGAGCCTGATATGAAGAGTGAATTGATGGTCCTGATGAAAATGACCACAACACTTTCCCAGATTTAGGCTCGACTAAATGGATTGTACCATCCAGGGCAGCAACCAGTGCAGTATCATGCTCACTGTTTCAAATAAAGCAATTAATTTAAAAAATAAAAAAAAATGAACAACAACAACAATTGGAAGGTAAATGACAATTGGAAGGTAAGTGATTCATTAAAAATCTTTGCATGCATGTAATGTGACATGACTTCTGTAGAGTCCTGGTCCTGAATATAAAATCCATAGATGAATATTTTTCCTTGTTTTATGGGGAAAACATCCATCATTTAAAATTTTACAAATAAACTTTTTAAAAAAAAAAATTAAAAAAAAAATATTACAAAACATTTGATGCATTACCACCTCCATGTCCTTAAATATGCAAGTCAGTATTTTTGAGCTTTGTCCCTGGTTTTCAAGCCCATTTTATGCATCTAGTAGTGTATTTAGATTGAAATAGACCAAACCCTAAGGATCAAACTGGTCAAAATTGAACTTTAAAACCTAATAATAATAATGATCGAAATAAACAACAACAAAAAATTCTATATCTTCTACCAAAAAACAAAACCAAAACAAAACCAAAACAAAATAAAATAAAATCAATAGAAAAGGTTTCAACAAAACTAAACAGTATTCATACCTTAAAAAGCATTTCAATTGAAATTATATACCTACATTATATAACCCTTAGGCTGTGTTTGGTTGAAGGATTTGAAGGATTTGGGTTCCCTCTCCAAATCCTTCAACCAAACACAGCCTAAATGATAAGCATCAATCACACATCATAAACAATTAAGCAACTGTTCAAATTATACATTTGAAATGTGATAACCTATTTCAAGCTTCTGAAGTTAAGCTAAATAGTGAAAAGTCATAGAAAGTGACAACAGTTCAAGAATATGAATTTTGAAACAAAAGGTAATAAAGAATACCATAAGGAACTGCACCACAGGGAATAAAAAGAGTAGACACTTTTAGCTCTAGGCAGAGTTCAGAATTAAGGGAATTGACAATAGGTCTAGGATTGACAGGATGGGCTTAGAGAGTAAAAGAGAAAAGGCGAAGACGGCTAAGCACCTAATGTACTTTAACACGTAAAGACAGAGAGAATACTTGAAAAACAGTTGCAACATAGTATGAGATGCATACATATTATGTTCATAGTGGAGAAAATATCAGATTCTTCAATAAGCATGGCACACCTTTACTCATGAAATAAGGAGCATAGATTCATTGTGAATCAATCTGAGTTTTACACATGGTAGACCTTCACAATTAACTAACTCTACCGTGGTTGTGCCCACTCTGCGTCTCTCTCTCTCTCTCTCTCTAAAACAGGACTCTATCCTACTATTTCATTTTTATTTGTTTTTCTGATTGTCAATCAGTTTATCAACAAAGACAATAAAACATCTTCGTAATCACAATATGATGTAATTATATGCACTTAAAGCATACGATCTAAAAGAATAACAAAATTTACATGATGAAAAAAGTGGCAAATTTTTTTTTGAAGGCTTGAAGAGGCAAAACTAGTGACATTACAAATCACAGAGCATGTACCCACAATTTAGACCCCAAATTCACCCACAATGATGTGGCAAGCGAGTTGGGCCCTATATGTTGAGTCTGTGCCAAATTAAAAGTTGACACTTATCCTGCCACATTATTGTGGATCAAATTGTAGGAGTAGTTTTAGGGGTCTCAAACATTCAGCAGGGTGACACCCAGTGCACGCATGAATCATATTATTCCTATTTTTTATTCCTCTAATCTATTCATTCCTAATCTTTCTCTTACTCCATGCGAACTGCCCAGAGAATATGTGTTTCTTTTAAATCAACTGAATTATTTAGATAATTAGCCTTTTAATTAATGGTAATTTTATACTTATCTCTATAACTAATAATTGGGCTTCAAGACACCAAAACTGGTGTTCACATATCTATCTATACTATTATTGAAAGTGAACACCTCACTTGGTGTCTATGAACTTTCTTACCTCTTTTTTGTCAAGCTCTTGCGCAAAGTGTCAATTTCTCCATCCAAAAGGAAACAAATAAAAAAATAGTAGTTAAAAAAAGAGGCACAAAGGCTTGAATCTAAGACCATTCACTTAACTTAATAATCCTTTCATCACTTAAACAACATAAAAAATATATATTATGAATTCAAAATTAAAATTTATATTTTAAGCACAGGCATCAGGTGGGCTCACACCCCTAGTATACTAGTATATCTAGGTAGATTAAATAATTAAACCGGACAGATGCTGGAATAAAATATATATATATATATATATTTTTTGATAATTAGATGCTGGAATTACATATTGAAACGTGATAGGAGCTCAAAATAAGTATCTGATAAATATTTTCATAGAAGTGTTTATACACAACTTAACGATGCCACGGTCGAAAAACACTAGATATTCCAGCACAAACAATTCAACAAAACCCTAGGCCTCCATGTTAATTATCTGAAGCTCAAGAAGAATAGAATAAACAAAATTTGAACTTTGAAAAAAAATAGAGGAAACACTCACTTGGAGACTGACAATAGAGACCTCCCAGCCGGTGGTTGACTGAAGCCATTGAGATCGTCTCCAACTAAAGTCGAAAACCGAACCTTGGAAACTTCGGAGCTCGAAACATCGCCGGTGGAAGCCGACAACCCAATCACAAGCATGAAAAGGCACAAAAGACGGATCAATTTGTGTTTCATCGGAGAGATTGAAGCTGACAAGGAGGATTGGGAGACTGCAATTTGTGTGGAGAACGAAGGGAAGGTAATTGATGCCGTAGACAGAGACGACAGTGATGGGGGGTGGTGGAGATTGAGAGGGTTTGGGAAATCCCTGTCGATGTTGAGAACAGGAACCAAGAAGATTCGAAGCTTCCCGTGGTTTCTGCGATTTTGGGATCTCCCGACGCCGTCGGATTAGCTTTCGTGTTTACGTAGAAATGTTTTGTCGCATGACTAGCGGGAGTAATTTTACCAACACGAACTCCAAACACATCTCACATGGGGTCGGTGGGTTTGGAAAATGTTAGCACCTAAATAATTTATTAATTTTTTTTTTTTATAAGCGTGTGATTTGTATTATGTATGTTAGCACCTAAATAATTTATTAATTTTTTTTTTTTTATAAGCGTGTGATTTGTATTATGTGATTTATATGTATTCAAGACTCGTTGACAAGTGATTTTTTTAATTAAAAAATTAAAAAATTAAAGAATTAATAATTTTTATTAAAAAGTTAAAAAAAATATATTTTTTATTTTTTTTATATTTTTTTGTAAAAAATTAAAAAATATTTTAAATATATTAATTTTTTTATATTATATTTTAATTATTTAATTAAAAAGTTATTAAAAAAAATATGTCCCCTAATAAGGCTTTATTCCGTTTTTTTATTTATTTAATTTTTTTAACAGGCATTCTGTCCCTTGCGTGTGGCTAGTGTTTGTGACTAGCTGTTTGGTCACATGTTTTTTAAAAGATTAATTATTTTTACCACCCTATATTTTTACTAAACGTTTGTTTTGACCCACCACTTCCATGATAGTCAATCACTTCCCTCCATTTGTCTTTTAAAGGCGGCTACCTTATGAATAAAGTATTACCTAGGGTGGGTTTAGAAATATTTTATTTTTAATTTTTTTCAATTTTTTAAATTAAAATATAAAGTAAAAAAAATTAATATATTTGAAATATTTTTTATTTTTTATTTTTTATTTTTTTTTGCAAAACAACGTGAAAAAAAATGTAAAAAAAATCTAGAACTTTTGACCTTTTCAGTATAATTTTTTATCTCTTTTAATTTTTAGTGATTTTTTAACTATTACTATAGGTAGTTTCCAAACCTACCCTTACGATATAATAAAGTATATATATACATATATCTATAATTGAAATAATAATCATGATATGTCATAATCAATCTTATGACCAAATCACAATTAAGAGTCATAACCAAACATTATTTAAGGATTAACTAAAGGCCAATACTAACAAGTGTCTCATAAACATTGTTTGATGTTGCAAATATGTAAAGATATTAAAAAGTATATTAATTTTAATAAAAGTACATTGAAATTAGTAAAAAGTGTATTGTATTCTATAAATGTTTTATCTTTTACTTGTATTCTATAGGTACTTGTTAGTAAGACTATTGTGTGAGTGATTTTCTGATCACACTGCCCGTTTAGTAATCAACTAGAGAGCACTGGTAGAATAGATGGCTTCAGTTATCCTGCAACAGAAAGAAAGGGCTCCGACGGTGGCTCCTCCACCCGAGGGCACTCCGACGATCAAGTCAGTATATCTCTCAAAGATAATCAAGTGCTAAACTCACTGTTCAAAGCATAAATTGCGTACCTTAGACCCACGGGGTGCCTCTCTTTTATAGTTTACTTAATCCTAGTCCCACAAGAAGCCTGACTTCTATGGACTCCAATTCAGTACTTACTTTGGACTCTTCAAGAGATAAAGATAAACTCCCTAAGAGTTTTATCCTCATCTTGACTAAGTCTCCTCTTTATCCTATGACTCTTGTCCCTTTTCCTTTGTCCTCTTATCTCGGATTCCAATATCTTCGGAGATAACCTTGGCCTTGCCGAGATCATCTCGGCGTAATAACCAGGACACGTGACACCTCGGCTGACACATCGGCGTCACCTTACCACTTGTTGGTACTCAAAAATATATCCCCACAACTACCCCCTAGGTTCTATTACCCCGGCATTCTGAGGTGATGGAACCTATATCATTCCATTTTTCCAGTACGTCCGTTTTCAGTATTTCAGCCGAGATCATTATTTTGGCCGATATCCTTTATTGAAGAACAAGAATTTCAAGAACCCTTGCACGCGTATGAGTTGTCATACACCATAATTCAACCGTTTCTAACCACGCGTTTCTTTCTCGCTGGTTCATACCTGTGACGCGCCCGTAAGTCATCTCTTTCTCACGTGCGCCATCTGACGTATGCGTTCTTCTAGGCGTATTGATTACTTTTTTGCCGCCGTTTTCATTTTTGACAAAATCTTTCCCCCTTTCTTCACTTTTCACTTTTGCATTCGATTTCTCTGTGCTTTTTCTCTCTCTAGCTCCTGGATACGCTATTGTTCCAGTATTCAAGCTCTGCAACTGTCTTCCGTTCTCCCTTCCTATGAAGCTTTTGTCGTCCCCGTTACATCTATAACTGTCGTCTGACTTCGGCAATCTTCATACCGACTTCATATTTTCTGGTAAGCAACTGCTTTCTTCTTATTCCAGTTTTTGATTTTTTCTAGAATTTCTTATTTATTACTGCTTTGCTCAAATAATCAATTTGTAAATCATACATCTGAATGCGTTGATTTCGCTTTTTGCTTATGCCTTGAACACATGTACTGTTCATAGTTCTTCTTGCACGCCTTGCCACTGTTCTTGGCCTTCAACCCTTTGTATTCTTCATCTCCATAGTTTTAGGTTTGGGATTTGTTTGTAGAACTCACGATTTAGGGCAAAACTGAAACTTTCCTTACAAATTTCTGTACCAGCCCAAACCTAGGTTTTTGCCGAGGTCCCATCAATAAGAAACATCTTCCTTCTGAATTTCAACCCTTCTAATTCAGGCCGATGTCATGGGTATGTGGAGACATAGGGTAGATACCCCGACCAAACTTGAGTACTTTAGGCAAGAGTTCTCCATCCCTGCCGATGTCCATCTAAAGCTGGCTGGGGATTATGACTCCATCATGCCTACAGAAAACGCCATGCCCTTTCCCATTGTAGCTTTTACTGAGTGCGGACTCCGGCTCCCACTCAACATCCTTTTTCGCGAGATTCTTCATTTTTATAAGTTGAACCCCATGCAATTGGCAATCAATTCTTATCGAGTGATCTTTGGTATTGCCGCCTTAGCTAAACAGGAAAACGTTAGGATCATCCTAGTCGATAGCCAGTATTGTTATACCATGTGTGCCCTTAACTTGAAAGAAAAAGGCTTCATTTATTACCTTAAGACGAGGTCTACAGAATTCAAAATCATAGCCGACCTCCCAGACTCCAACAAGGGGGCTGGAGATGACTATCTCATTACCTCGAAAAATTGGGAGTTTGTTCCGGACGAGGGCATCCATCTCTATCCTCTTCCCCGATCAGTTTTAGAGGGTAAGGGTAAGAGCCTAGTATTCAGCTTTGCCTGTTTTCTTTCAAAGTCTTAAATACTTTGTCTGTTTCTGACATCTGTTCTTCTTGCAACTGTTCGTCAGCCACCAAAAGATTTTTTACCAATCCTTTGTCCCCAACAAGGACTTGAAGAGACTTCCGGATTTGCCAATCCACAAAAGGAAAGCGCCTGTGCTTCTTAATTTTATTCCATCATACAAGTCGACTTTGCCCGACATTCCCAAAAGGAAGAAGAAGTGCCTTTCTCCACCTTCCGTTACAACTCCATTGACTGTTTCTACATCACGAACAGATCAAGGATCAACATCTGATCCTGCAGATCAGCTATCTTCTTCAGCTCCATACTTGGTTCCAATTGCAGAACGAAAACGTCGGCGACGACTTGTCCTTACTGCCGAGATGGGTCGCCCTAAGCCTGTTGCCAAAGATCTTATGGCCAGCATTCCATCATCTGTTGATAAGCAACCAACCCAAACCCTTCCTCCATCGAAGCCAAAGAGAATAAAAAAGGCTCAACCAAAGCCTAAGGTAACTCAGGTCGAGTCCGAAGATAGCCTGCCTACCTCAAAGTTGGCGGAGAGTGACAAACCTCAACCCCCTGCTGGAAGAGGCGCTCGGAAACCCAGCCATCAGAGTCCCCAAAATCCAAAAAGCCGAGGTCTTCTTCCGCTACGACTTCGGGATCCAAGAAGAGCGATGCCCCCTGGTCCCCAAAAATTACTCTGGAGGACAAGCCAGTCTTGGCTACTGACAGTGCCGACGACATCAATGTCAGCGTAGCCCTAAGCACAGCTCTGCTCCTTCCCAGCGACCTTGATCGCAACGCCGAGTTGAGCGAGTACGAGAATTATGCATTGATGCTTCAACGCTCCGTTCAAGTTAGTGTTTTCTTCTTGGTAATTTTCTTCTTTCTGTTTTGTATTTAGAGAATTTTGAGCTAATTTTTGTCTTGTGTTCTTTCAGGCAATCCAACATGCCCACTCTTTTTTTGTGCAATCTTTTGAAAATCGGCAAAAGCTGGCCGACATGAAGAAGGAGTTCTCTTCTCTTCAAAAGATCAATAAGAGCCTTCAATCAAAAATGAAGAAGCTGGAAGATCAAGCCGAGACTGCAGTTAAAACTCAGAATAATGCCGAAGAGAAGGCTGAGGCTGCTGAGGCTATCAAGAAAGTAGCTGAGTCCCAAAGAAAGGAGGCCGAGGAGAAGATGGCCCAAGCCGAGAAAGAGCTTCAAGAAGCCTTGGCCACTAGAGAGGCTGAAATAAAAGATGCTGATGAAAAGGCATATACCCAAGGCATGGCTGATGTCACTGATGCTTACGAACAGCATGTGAAGGAGGCATGCAACAAGGGTTTTACCCTTGGTTGGATGTCCCATCTGAAGAAACTTAACGTCCCAGAGGACTCGCCATTAAGAAAATCTGATGCCATTCCTTTGCCATTTCCTCCAATTCAACCTCCAAATCAAGACATCGGCGAATCCGAATCCGAGGAAAATGATGAGGATGAGGATCAGGCCTTGGTGAGAAAACCCAAGGATACTGATGAGGCCAAGTCCCCTCCTCAAAATGAGCAAGTCCTAGACTTGACTCAAGATGAGGAAGGTGATGAGGTTCCTATAGAAGCTGTTCCCGAGAATGTACTTGCCGACGTCTCCTCTGTGGACAAGAGTGTTGAAGAAACTCTGCAAGAAATTGATGCCGAGATAGCGGCAAATAAGGCTGCTGGGATGTCTTCTCAACAAGCAACTGATCTTCAAATTCAACCAATTGATGGAGAGGAGTCTTAACTTTATGTTCTTCTTTTGCTTACTTGTATTTTGTTGCTTCTTTATCTTTTGGAACAATGTATGTTTTTTGTATGGCCGAT